ACATGTGGTTCTAATATTATAATAATACGTAAGTAAATAATGTAAACAAAAGTATAACACGATCATATTAACAGACAAATACATACAAAACTCAATACAATTATATGCAAAACAGAAATCATAAATATGTGGAACGTATAAAAGGAATGCCAAACTAACCAAACTGGGCGTTTATGGTAAGGGGGAGTCTAGTGGGTATTTTTATAAAATTTATAAATCAGTGTGCTATATGAAAGAAAAATAAGAAGCTTGCATTGAAGTGCATGGCTAGCATTAGCTAATGAAAACCATTTGATACTCAGTGGCAACACCCCTTAGAGCCAACTGGATTTGAGAAGGGGGCATAGCCGGTAGTTATTTGCCACGTCTCCTTACCGAGTCATTTTCTCCCTAATCATTTATTTTCGTTGTTATTTAGAGCAATCCATAGCTACTGCAAGGGATGCATACCCCTTTTGTTCTGCTGGCAACATCCGGTGGGACTTCGCATTACATTGCAGGACTCAAAGTATCAGAAATCGCTGTTTGAATGGATGCCCAGCAGAGGGGTCGGGGAGTTGACAGATGTCAGGCCGGGGGTTACGGGGTATGATTATGCGGAAATCCCAGACGAGATGTTTCTACCATTGGTGAGGTCCGTGGTGTTCCTCGAGACAGAGCCATTGTACCTTGTTCAGGACAACAGACCCATCCACACGAGTAGTGTCGTGAAGGCCTGGTTTCGGCGACACCCCGAGATTATGTTGTGCCACATCCACCCAAATCACCAGATCTCAATCCCATTGAGAATGCTTGAGCAGCCAGGGGCAGAGACTTTCCCCCAGGATCATATCCGCAATCATCATTTCAAGCAATTATGGTATGAAAATTGTTTAACGGGACAAAGTCTAGGGGGTCAACTGCATATCAGGTCAACTCACAACACTTTCCAACCGCATGAGTTTGTCTTCTCTGGTGCGAGAATATTGTAAAAGTGTTGTTGGCTACTTGTAGTTGTACTGTTGATTGTAATATTATTGAAGTTGTACTACAAGGTTTTTTTTTTCAAAGTACGTGTTAAATCTACAGAAAAGCAAATATATTTTTGGGATAAACATTAGTTTCAGTTATAAGATCCTTTTGGTCCGCAGTTAAAATTTTGTTTGAGAAATTAATTAATTAATTAATTAATTAAGTTTTCGTCCACATTTTTCTTTATTTCGGTTACTAAGTAAAACAGAAATAATATGAATAATATGAAAAAAATAAATAGAATAAAAAATACAAGGTATGAATTATTTCTACATATATATATGTGTGTGTATATATATATATATATATATATATATATATATATATATATATATATATATATATATATATATATATATATATATATATATATATATATATATATATATATATATATATATACATGTATATATATATATATATATATATATATATATATATATATATATATATATATATATATATGTATGTATATATATATATATATATATATATATATATATATATATATATATATATATATATATATAAGGAAACCAAACGAATATTAGCAAAACTCTCCTACAAATCCTACGATGAAAAACAAAAACGAAAGGCAGGCCGGGGCATCAATATCTGTATGGATTTAGTTTTATCTTTGATAAAATACAAATTAAGGTAGAGACAACTTCAGGCAAACAGTAACGCAATATTTACGAATGATCCTTCTTAAGAATGGATCATCCGTATAATACTAACTTTGCAACTATAGAGCTACTCTTTCTGATCATCTCGTCAGACGAGGACACTACATTGATAATGGCCTGGCCAGAAATATCTTCCATTTTAAACCTGACATTACACCACATTGAACACCACACAGGGTGTGGTGTCAGATTTGGGTTATAACTTGAAATTATGGACATCTGCAGCGCCACAGATTTGTAATTATTTCATGTTTAATGGGCGAGCTTCAACACTGTCAGGCAAGAACTTCTTGCAAATATCGTACCTATCAAACAAAAGCAGCCGTCCTGTACCACATCGGTTTGTCCTCATGTTCAAAAAATAATATGTACACTTTGATAATTGAGTTCTGTCTTGCTTACATCCAATGCTGCACCACATACTAAAATTAACGGTGCAGTTCAATTGTCCTAAGAGCATTTATATAAATATATATATATATATATATATATATATATATATATATATATATATATATATATATATATATATATATATATACATATATATATATATATATATATATATATATATATATATATATATATATATATATATATATATGCACTGCATTTTATAAGTTATCTACTTGGTTTCCACTTAGCACTATGTTATAAAAAAGTATTTAAAGAACCTGGCAAAAAGAACAACTAAACATGTTATGCAAAAATCAAATGATCTTCACTGATGACGAAAATTCAAATGCAAATTGGAATACATACAAAAACTGTCTACAAGATGTAGCAAATCTAATGTGTGGTCACAAAACAGCTGAAAAGAAGCAAAAGTGGATCACAGCAGAAATTTACAACTAATGAAAGCAAGAAGGAAAATCAAAGTAAAAACTGGTAATAAATCAGCAGAATACAAGCATATATCACAGAAAATACATAAAGAATGCAGAAAAGCAAATGACAAATATCACCTAGAAAAATATAAAGAGCTAGAAGAATTAGACAAACACCATAGCAACAAATTCTACCAGAAACTGAAGCAATTCAACAAAAGGACGAACAAGGCATAAAAAAAGGAAAACTTATAAATGACACTGAAGAAATAAAAGAAAGATGGACAGAATATGTTGAAGAACTGTATAATGACGATAGAGAAGAAGACAATCAAAATAATGTAAGCATTAACAATCAGAATTATGTTTTAGAAGATGAAGTAAAAGAAATAATTAAAAATCTTCCAAAAAAACAAGGCAACTGGTGTAGATGACATACCAGCAGAAATCCTACGAAATCTAGATGACAAAAACATATCTACAGTCACAAAACTCATTAACCTGATTTACCAATCAGAAGTTATTCCACATGACTTTAAAGAAAGTATTTTCATTACATTACCAAAAGCACAAAAGGCATCTGACTTCATTAATTTCTGGACAATTAGCCTCATTTCTCACATTTCAAAATTGTTTCCACTTAGGACAATAACAGAAAGAATGACACAAAAAAAGAAGACACTTTTTGTGGGTTTTATTGATTATACAAAAGCCTTTGACAGAGTAAAGCATGGAAATCTGATGTCTATGTTCAAAAATGTTGGAATTCTAGAAAAAGAAAGTTGATTGAAAACTTATGCTGAGGGCAAACAGCACAAGTACGCGTCAATGACGAATTTAGTAGAAAGATCCACATTAAGATGGGAGTGCGTCAAGGTTGCATACTATCACCCATTCTATTCAATATCTATAGTGAATACTTGGTAAAGGAGGCATTACATCAAAGAAAAGGGATTCTCATCAATGGTAAATATAATAATAATGTCAGATATGCGGACGATCGCGGAGAAAGCGGAAGGTTTACAACAGTTAATGGAAAGTTTGAATTCTACGTGCAAGAAGTACGGAATAGAACTGAACGCTAAGATGACGAAGGTAATGGCTATATCGAAGAAGGAATCCCCACAAACAAAGGTCAACAAGTCAAGAAGTAGAAGTATCTGGGAATTATAATCACAGAAAATGACAAGTGCGAATAGGAAATCAGAGCAAGAATAGGAATGGCAATGAACGTGTTCTACCAGCATAAAGAATTGATAGACCGCAACATCACCCTCCAGACTAAGATACAAATTCTGAGTCTATACATATTACCAGTTGCAGCGTATGAGTCAGAGTGTTGGACAATGAACAAAGAAGCACAGAGAAGGATAACAGCATTGGTAATGTGGTGTCTAAGAAGAATGTTGAAGACAAGCTGGAAGGACAAAGTTAAGAAAGTTGTTCTTGAGAAGGCTAACAGCAAGGATAGGTGGCTGAATCAAATTGCAAGGAGGAAGATGAAGTTTGCGGGACACGTTCTTAGGGACTCGGCTGAGGATTTGGAGTTGCTGGTGTTGGAAGGATTGGTGGAAGGGAAGAGAGATGGGGGGAGACAGAGAGGCACCTGCTTCGACAACATCAGGGAATGGGCTAGAGCTGGGTCGTATGTGGAATGCAAGAGGAAAGCGGAAGAGCGAGGTCTTTGGAGGCCTTTGCAACCAACCATCGGATGGAAGACGGCACGGCGATTGATTGATATCATTATTTTGATTATCCTTTTTATAATGGTGAAGACAATTATGAGAATTATAATGGCAACATATAATACAATGCTAATAATATATGATAATACAGTAATAATGGTAAATAATCATTCAAAAATTATACTAATGATAATTGATAATACAATAATGATAATCATCCAAAATACTAAATTATAATAACGACATCGAAAAGAGTAATACCAATGACAACAACAGTAATGATTATAATAACTACACGTTCATATTGTTATGATTTATTAATTATACCAATTATTTTGTTTATATATTTTGATAACAAACATCGATAGGAGTTCAATGATACCAAATTTGATAGGCTTAAAGATGCAGACAAGGTCTAAAAAAATCCCTATACTTATTATTTCTATTACTATTACGTCTAATCATAAGAATAATATCAGAACAACAGTAATAACTTTCTTCTTATGATCACTTATTACTACTGTCATTATCAATGTTATAAAAGGCAAACATAATTTTAATATCTTACCTTTATAAAATAACCTAGTTAGTGCTATTAAATAATAAAATCTGAATAGTGTTTTTTTTTTTTTTTTTTTTACTATTATTTTTTTTTTAGAGATATCGGAATTTTAAGAGAATTGTAATACGGCGGCTCACTCGAGCGCGGGGGGGGGGGGGGATATGGGACTTTTGATATGTTCAGGTCACATATCTGTACATTTGGGCCGAGTTTCAGCTCTTATCTAGATATTGCACTAAAACCCTATGTTATTCCCTAACGTTCCTGAGTCAATGAACTCCCTATGACACCGGGTGAGGTGCCGAACAAAACAGCCGTCCGTGAGTGAGTTCTGACTGGGTTTACCCAAAGTTACAGCATATGCCAATTAAAGGTGAATTTAGTCCTTGTATGTTTTTTTTTTCTATTTTTTTTATTAAGTTATAAAATAGCTCTAAAAAATCATCTTTGTACATACTTCTATTATTATTATAGTGATGATAATTATGACAATAATAAAAGCTTTCTTCTGATCACTCTTATTAATACTATCATTTTCAATGTTATATGTTTTTAGTATCATTTGTACAGAAAATAAGCGAAATGTTAATATCTTAGTCGTTAACATTTCTGCCTTCGGAATTTATACAGATTCCAATGCATTGCTATGGCTGCCTTTTGACGAGCTTCAAAAACGTGTAGTATATCTATTATCCCCGCAAATTCTTGTTTCTTTTTATAAAATTATCCTCTAAAGCCTCTTACGAGCTTAAAGATAAATTTAAACCTCTTAAAGAAATTCATACGATTATTTATCGCTCACATACATGCTGCCTATGATGTTGTTTTGAGTTTTATTGACTCTTTTTAAGCCTGGAAAGAAGTTTTAAACCTTACTAAATATTTTTTTTTTGTAGAATTACCACAGGTTTTTCCTTATAAAATATATTTTGGTATTTTGACGAGTTTAATAGATAGGATGGCAGGCACGTGTGGGCGGAGGTCAAGCTTGAAATTTCTCTATGTGGAATACTAAATTTCATGTCACCAGTGTTTGGCTTCAGGAAAACATATTCGTGTTAACTATAAGAGAAAAGGAAACGAAAATAACAATATGTGTGTGTGTGTGTTTTCATGAAAATTATTTTTTGTACAAATTTAGAACAAACCATTTTAACCAATTCATTGCCACTTTGGTATGGACGAAAGCTGATCACAACCCCGCAGTGTCATTACACCCCAATATCAACAAAACTGGAAAAAACAAAAATTGGCATTCCACTGCAACGACACATTCAACTGCAATGACGGGAAACATTGAGAATAGTTAACTAGAATTATTCCATAGAGTAAAGAGCCCGGTGATGCGTATCTTTTGCCTCCTGGTTACGTCAACATTAGATCCTCAATAACAACAAAAACAAAAACGTAATTGGTAATAACAAAAGCATCTTTATGACTGACACTGGCTTGAGATATCTTGATAGATCCTTCTGTCTTGGTAACCAAGCACTAATATCTCGTTTCCTGGCTACATGTAAAAGTGTGTGAGAAAAAAAAAGTGTTTTGTTTAATAATTTGTTGTTATCTGTATGTACTGCACTATTAATGAACTGCACTATTGCGTATGTCTCTTTACATTGTAAATTATATCACTTGTGCCAAAAGTTATTTTTTTTTATTGGGATACAAAATTTCACAGATCTTGCGTTTCTATTCTTTAGTAAGGATCAATCGCCATTGTTTCATCAGACCAGATCGCTTTAAAAAACAATTTTGACAAAATCGCAAAAAATGGTCACGATTCTTAAAGAGGTTAAAAATGTATTTTTTGTTCAGCTACACATTTATTCATCTTTCTTGTACAGAAGGTTAAAGAAATCTATACAAGTATCTGTGTAAACGTATGTGTATAATCATTATAATCATCGACATATACAATTGAATATATACGCCTGTATGTGTGCTTGTATGTGCACTTTATCCCCGCATACGTGTGTGCATTTCTAGAATTCATGTAGAATAAATTGCAAATAGAACAACGAAGGGATGTACAAGAAAACACACGAAAATGCCGAAGGCCTTTTCACTATATAGTCATGCCCTGAAGAAGCAGCAAAGTGAAAAGACCTGTGGCATATACATGTGTTTTCTTTCACTTCCCTTCGTTGTTCCATTTGCAGTGTGTGCATTCGTCCAATTAGAGCTTCTAGAGTGAACCAGAACTGTGCACTCGACTACACATATAAGGAGACTCAATACGCCGAACTGAATCCGCTATCGATCTCAGTGTTGTCCTTAGGCGTTCCTTTTCCTTCCTGAAGTTCCCTCGGTCACCCTCGGCAGAGCATCGCTTTGAGAGGAAAATGAAAATGGCTGAGGTGACTGGAAGGATGGAGTTTGAGGGGCGGGAAAGGGATATACCTATATAACAGTATAATATCAATTGACTATGATTACTTACATGAGGATGATGCGAGAAGAAGAAAAAGAAATGCAATAATGATAATGGATAATACTAATAATTGTAAATAATGATGAGTGATATTAATACCTCTATTAAACAATGATAATAATGATAGCGATAATTATAAAAATGACAAGAAGAAGAAAGAGAAGGAGAAAAAAGAAACAGAAAAAAAGATGGCGTGGATCGAAGAACTCCTCACCTAAATGGCCTCCTCGCCCTTCCTCATCTTCCTCTTCCTCCTGTTCCTCCTCCCCCTCCCCACATAAGCTCCCCGAGGAAGGCTGCCACGGAGGCTCCCCAGCCCAAACAAGCCACGAGGAAAATGCCCTGAAGATGGTCCAAGGTCAGAGGGATGACCCCGCTGTCCACGGCTTCGTCAGCGCCTCCTCTCGTGTCCTGTGGCGGGAGGGAAGTTGTGTGCGTATCTGTGCAGGCGGATTGTAGACGCACATACGCGGGGACACTTACACCTACATGAACACATACACATACGCATGCACACACGCACTCACATACACACAAACACACACACATAAACACCCACACACAGAAACACATATATACACAAACACACACACACAGAAATAAAAACACACACACATATATATGAACAAAGCCTCACAAAGCCACAACCGAGCGAACCCCCGTGAGTCGCGCTCACGGGGGTTCGCGTTAAACGTTAAGAATCAGACAGATTATCCAGTTTTGATGAATAATAAGTGTGCGACTGTGACTGCTTGCTTGTGTGCACTGATGACAGTCGCTTTAGGGTTAGATAAAGTATTACGGTATTAATAAAAAAAAGAAGAAACGTTATATTGCTTATCAAGGTGAAGGCTGCCTAGGTATGTAAATGTATAAAGCATTACTGTCACTGTCATACATTCTTTCGTTCGTCCCCGCCCTCTATCACCCCCCCCCCCCACAGCCAACCAGCCCCTCCCCCTGCCACCCAGCCCCACCCTCTGACTTCCAGCCCCTCCTCCTGCAAACCAGCCCCTCCCCCTGCCATCCATCCCCCCCTCCCCCTGCCACCCACCTGGGCCGCCTCCTATTTTCCAGCCCCTCCCCCTCCAGCCCCTCCCCCTGCCACCCCCCCCCTCCCCCTGCCACCCACCTGGGCCGCCTCCTATTTTCCAGCCCCTCCCCCTGCCCTCCCCCCCTCCCCCTGCCATCCATCCCCCCCTCCCCCTGCCACCCACCTGGGCCGCCTCCTATTTTCCAGCCCCTCCCCCTGCCATCCCCCCCTCCCCCTGCCATCCATCCCCCCCTCCCCCTGCCACCCACCTGGGCCGCCTCCTATTTTCCATCCCCTCCCCCTGCCCTCCATCCCCTCCCCCTGCCCTCCATCCCCTCCCCCTGCCACCCACCTGGGCCGCCGCACGCCTGAGAGACTGCAGGAAGTACTGGCGGATGAGGCCACTGTCCCTCAGCCTCCCGAGGACCTTGTCGACCTCCTCCTTGAGCGGCGAGTGCTTCTGGACGGCCAGGGCGATGCTATAGGGCGCGAAGCACTCCTGCGCGGAAGGGGGTTGGGGGGAGCAGGGGGAGGGGGGGAGGAACGAGGGGGAGGGGGGGAAATGGGAAGGGAGGAGGGGGAGGGGGGAGGGAAGGAGAAGAGGGAGGGGGGAAGGGAAGAGGAGGTGGAGGTGGGGGAAATGGGAAGGGAGGGGGATAGGGGAAGAGGGGAGGAGGGGAGGAAGGCAAGAGGGGGAGGGGGGAAGGGAAGAGGAGGTGGAGGTGGGGGAAATGGGAAGGGAGGAGGAGGGGGAGGGAGAGCAGGGGGAGGGGGGAAGGAGGAGCAGGGGGAGGGGGGAAGGGAGGAGGAGGGGGAGGTGGGAGAGGAGGAGAAGGGGGAAGTAGAAGGGTTTGGAGAAATGGAGAAGGGAGGGAAGGAGGAGGATTGAGGAAGGAGGGAGAGACAGAGCAGTAGAAGGAAAGGGGAGGAGGTGGTTGTGGGAAAAAGGAGGAGGAGGAAGAGATAGAGGGAGAAGTAGGGGAGAGAGAGGGAATGGAGTAAGGAAGAGGAAGGGAAGGGAGTAGAGGGAAGAGGCATGAGAGGGGTAAAGGGAGGAAGAAGCAAGAGGCAGGAAGAAGGGGGGTAGGGAAGGGAGGGAGGCGCGGGGGCAGAGAATATCAAATAATTTTTTTTTATTATTTTTTTTTTAACACATAATCATATAGGTAGTGTGTGTTTTTATTGGTGAGTGTGTGCGTGCGTATTGTACATGTGTATGTCTGTATTGCGTGTGTGTGTGTGTCTGCATGAGTACTTGTATGAGTGTGAGTGTAAAGTGCATGCATGTGATTGTAATGTGTGTATGTATGTATGCGTGCGTGTGAACATATGTGCACGTATGTGTGTGCGTATGCGTGTGCATACTGCGCGTGCGCGTGCGAGCAACCGGGCCAAACGCGAGCACCTTCATCATCCTCGTCGCTGCCACGCCCTTGCGAGTGAACCTGGAGGCGGTGACGAACTCGATGTAGGCGCTGTTCTGCAGGAAGACGCCGCTGCCGTCGAGCACCTTGGGCAGGATCGTCTCCACTGACTTGTGGCCCTTGTAGGTTCGGGTCAGGGCCTGGTGGGAGGAAGCGGCGCTCAGGGGTTACAGGGAAGCACTGCGGGTGCATAGACGACACGCACACATACGGACGTACATAAACACGCATACACATATCCGCACACACGCACATACATATACACAGACACAGAAACATGCATACAAACACACACGCACATACATATACACGGACACAGAAACATACATACAAACACACACGCACATACATATACACAGACACAGAAACATAATACAAACGCACACAAACACATACAAATACATATCCGTGAATTATTCAAGTTTAATCCATAAGCATGCTAAACACCATAGCTCAGTGTTGCCATTCTAGCGATTTTTCCGCTAGTTCTAGAGTTTTAGCGTTATAATCTAGCGGGATTTTGAAATTCTGAAAGTTTCCTCTACATTTAGCGATACTAAGTCCTTTTTAGCAGGAAAACGAGGGGCGTCTACTCATGTCTATCGTTTTGTGGAAAGATCTGCCCCTGTATAGTTAGAAAAAAATCTAAAGAATGGACAGTGCCGCTCTTATCCGTTTTTAAAAGGAATGTCTGTACCATGGGCATTGATATTAATTTCGCTGGCGCATGTTACCCATCTGTTATGAATTCGTCATACGGGTAAGCAATAATTAATAAGAAAAGTGTTTATTTGTCATAATATTTTTCGTCTAATATGAGATTGCAAATCACCGTCGTATGATAATTATTTTTTTCATCATGTGAGCCAAATATTTTATTCATAGATTAATTTACAAAAAAAAAAAAAAAGAAAAAAAAAATAGAGCTGCAGATGTCTTCCATAAAATATTTTCTCCTGCTATATAAAGTTTTTTTTTTCACTTGTAATATATCTCTCTTCTAGGACCCGTGTGTCTTTGCATGCTTGTAAATATTCCGTGATAAACTCCTTGCTGACGGGCGCTTCCTTGTCAGCCTTTCGATGATCTTAGAGGTGTAAAACTCTAATTCCGTGCCCTGGAGACGTACTTAATACTCTCCCGCTTAACTTCCACCACATATCTAAAAAAAAAAAAAAAAAAGGAAAAAGAAAAGGAAAAAAAAAAACTTTAGAGGGAAATTATCGTAACTGCGGTTTCCTACATCCTTCCTTCCCATTTCTTTTGCTGTCTCCCCTTTCTTTTCTCTCCTTTCCTCCTTTTTGTCTCTTTCATATCATCCTTTTCGTCTCTATCACGTCCCCCTTCTCCTCCCCCTTTCTTCTTGTCTCCCTTCCTTCCTCCCCTCCCTCCCTCCCTCCTTCCTTCCCTCCCTCCCTCCCCTCCCCCTCCTCACCTGCAGGTTCGCCTCTCCCGCCGAGGCAAGGGCCACCCTGTAGAAGTCGCCGAGGCCTGCTACCTCCAGCCCCGCCCTCCTCAGCTCCTCCACCGTCTCGATACTTCCCGGCGGCCGACTCACGATGATGAAGGCCGTGAGGTTGGTGGAGTAGGAGGCCGTGAGGATCGTGACGTACAGCCACAGCATCCCGACCGTCAGCTGGGCGGAAGGACGCGAAGGAAGGCGGGCTTGGGGGGCGTCGCAGTGCAGGCCGAAGGTGTAGTACAGGCAGGACGTGAGGCTGGACAGAGCGCCGATTTCGGGGCCGCTTCAGGAGGGAGAAGGGTAGGGAAAGAGTAGGGAAATGAGGGTAGTGGGAGGGAGGATGAGAGGGAGAGAGAAGAGGAAGAGGAGGGATGAAGGAAAGGGTGAGAGAGGAGAGAAGGAGGGTAGAGGGAGAGAGAAAGGAGAGGGAGGAGGGATGACGGAGGGAAAAAAGGAGAGGGAGAGAGGGGAGGGAAGGAAGGAGAAGGAGAGGGAGAGAGAGGAGGAGGGAAAAAGGAGGGACACAGAGGAGGGGAAAGAGGGAGGGAGAGAGAGAAGAGGGATGGGGGATGAGGGAATGAAGTAGAAGAAGAGGAAGAGAGAGGAGGGAAAGAGAGACAGACAGGGGAGGATGGAGAGGGAGGGAGGAGGGAAGAGGAAGGGCGGGGAAGAAAGGAGGGGGATGAGGTAGGAGGGAGGGAGGAGGAGAGAGAGAGAGGAATACAGATATAAAGAGAGAGGCGGGCAAGCAAAGAACAGAGGAAAATCTTATTAGAAGATCACAGAAGTAGTAATGTGACAAAGATATATATACAGTAAGCAGACGCCATGGAATGCCCCTCACTAATCCCACGCCACTCGCCAAATGCCTCGACACCTACAGCGCACTGCCGCCCCTCGCAATGACATACAGGAAGACGGCATTGAGGGCCAGCGCCAGCAGGAGAGCCAGCCAAGTCCACAGCTGGAAGGGGAAGGCCAGGGCTTGCCAGCGGGGGAGAGGGGGCTCCGTGCGGGCCATGAAGCAGCTGAGCTGAGGGTGACCGAGGGGGACTGCGTTCATGCTCGTGTATGGAGACGAGCACATATATACATATTTATTATCAAACACACACACACATATGTACATACATATATACATACACACACACACACACACACACATATATATATATATATATGTGAGTGTGTACATACTACATATATATGTATATATATTCATAGGCGTAGGAGCCAGGGGGCTGGGGGGGGCTCACCCCCCCAGTCGGGTAAATGCTGGTTGAATTCGGGCAATTTTGGGCAATGGGCATAGAAATTGGAAATTATCCATTTTGCGAAAAAGATATTGGTAAAAAGTTATATTAATGTAACATAGATACTTTAAAAAGGGTATTTAAAAAAACAGAAAACTTTTCTTAGCACACTGAGACCTTTTATCTGTGCGAAAAAGTAGACGTGTTTCCTTTTTATCAGCATATAATATAGACAGGACCCCGTGGCCTGTTCTCAGCCCCCCCCCCCCCCGCCGACCCCCTCTATCTACGCTACTGGTGGCATTTATCACAAATTTTCTGGCAGGTGAAATTTCTCTTCCTCTTTCACTCGGGCAGAAAATTTGCAGCCCCCCCTAAATTTTAAATGCCCCTACGCCGATGTATATATTCATATTACACACACAAATATATGAGTTACATATATACATATTTTTATATGATATATATATGTTTATATATGTTTATATACTCATATGTGTGTGTATATATACATATATATGTATATACATCTTATATGTATATATATCTCATATATATGTATATATAGAGAGATATATATTTCGTATACATATAAATATATATACATACACACTTTATAAATATATATATATATATATATATATATATATATATATATATATATATATATAATATATATACACTTATAAATATACATATAAGCACACACGCTTATCTGTATATATATATATATATATATATATATATATATATATATATATATATATATATATATATATATATATACATATATATATATATATATATATATATATATATATATATATATACACATACATACATATGTAAGTATATATATATATATATATATATATATATATATATATATATATATATATATATATATGTATATATATATATATATATATATATATATATATATATATATATATATATATATATATATATATTATATATATATATATATATATATATATATATATATATATATATTTATATATATATATATATATATATATATATATATATATATATATATATGTATATATATATATATATTTATATATATATATATATATATATATATATATATATATATATATATATATATATTTACACACACACACCGTTCACAGAACGCGAGCACCCCGCCCACCCACCGCCCGCTTACCCTGGAGTCATAGGGCGCCGTGAAGTCCACAGCCGCAGCTCTCGTGACGGACACGTACACGCTGGCCGCCCCCAGGTCCGCTTGGCCCGCCTGCAGCATCCCCATCATGCCCGACCACGAGCCGTTGCTGCGCTCGTCGCCCCACAGCACGTACACGCACACTTACACGTACATGCGCGCACACACGTACACGCACACTTACACGTACATGCGCGCACACACGTACACGCACACTTACACGTACATGCGCGCACACACGTACACGCACACTTACACGTACATGCGCGCACACACGTACACGCACACTTACACGTACATGCACGCACACACGTACACGCACACTTACACGTACACGCACGCACACAAGTACACGCACACTTACACGTACATGCGCGCACACACGTACACGCACACTTACACGTACATGCGCGCACACACGTACACGCACACTTACACGTACATGCGCGCACACACGTACACGCACACTTACACGTACACGCACGCACACACGTACACGCACACTTACACGTACATGCACGCACACACGTACACGCACACTTACACGTACATGCGCGCACACACGTACACGCACACTTACACGTACATGCGCGCACACACGTACACGCACACTTACACGTACATGCGCGCTCCTGCGAGGGGGGGTTAGATTCAGAAACGTGTGTGGGTGTAAATATGTGTATCTGTTTGTATATATTTATTCATATACATACATATATATGTATATATATGGATAGATTCAAATGCAATATGTCGTGTGTATGTATGTGTATATCTACATATCTATATACCTATATCTATCAATCTATCTATCTGCCGTGATCAGATTTGCAATGGACTGGCACGCACGAGCAACTGCACATCAAGGATAATTAAAAACGACGAACCAAAACAAGAGCACTGCAAAAGGCGCGAAAACCAGGGCGCAGACGAAAACAACTGCGCAGGACGACATGATTAACTAAGAAACGACCTTATGAGTTGAGACTATGGTACTGAATAAGCATTTAAGACACTCGGATATAAGGCACAATTATATGCGCAGGAAAAGACAACTAGTGAACTGTGTAGTAGCTAATTACCGCGAAGGTGAGGAAGCGCACCTGGGGGAAGCCCGCCAGACACGCCCGAGGCAGAGAGAGGGCAGCTGGGGTTCGCCGAGGCAACACGCTGTCGCCTTTTGTGTTTTGTGGGATTTTTCTGAACTTTTGTAACGGACTCCCTTCGACACTGGATTACAACAGTGACCTGTGATCTCATATAAAACGGTAAAGCTAACTGTATTGGTTTGTGTATAAGTACGCTGTCACTCTCCCAGTAAAACACCAGAACTCCTCCTTTTATTTAGTTTTTTTTCCGATTTTACCTTGTATTTCTTTTAATTTGAGTTCAACAAACAGATGGGGTTATGAA